CTCCTACCTAGTGGGCGACAGCCCGTTGTTATATAGAACCTTTGTCCTCCAGATCGATGAGCCTCATTGACCCTCAATGAGGATCAATGATCCATTAGGTGACCCGCTAACCTATTTCGATCCCTTGCCTGCTGGGCCTATGGCCCACAAGCCCCGTGATTGTGACACTATCCCCCATTCCTCCTAGCGCAGTCCCGTGCGCATAACTAGGGCAAGGGATTATCTTATGGCGAGGCAAGGCCCTCCTTCCTTTCCATCATACCACACCCTCTCAAAGAAACCTTAGTTAAAGACAAAGAGAGAAAACGCCACGCCTAACGAATCCTTGACGCGAGTACCGAAATGATCTCCTGCTCAGCCTGCGAACGAGCCGGCAAAAGGTGCCAGGCTCGAGAGGGTATCTCGAGATGCGCCGAGTGCGTTCGTCGAGGCTTCTCACGATGCGATATGGGAGGTCCCATGCCGCAGGACTGGTCCTCTCTGGACAACAATAAGGAAAAACTAGAACGAGAGTTGGACGAGGCTCTTGCGAAACAGCAAGAGATCGCCGCGTGTGTCGAGCGCATCCAACGACAACGCAAGTTTCTGAGGAAACGAGAGACTGAGATGCTCCGCCGTGGCCTCGAGTCTCTGGATGAGCTGGATGCTGCCGAAGAAAAGGAACGGTTGGATAAAGAGCGGTTGGAGAGAGATCTGCGGGAACGGCCCGCAGTCTCGTCTCCAATTGGCTGGGATCCCAGTATCGACTAGAATGCCCTGGAAGAGTCCTTTCTTCCTAGTCCTAATACCTCCTCCGCTGCTCCCGTCTGGGAAGTCCAGGATACCGGTGGTGAAAGTCAGTCAGGATCTCAGGGCAGCTAAGATTTGATTTGGGCTCCCAAGTGTTCTCTGACTGTAGGTATCCTTACCACTTGATTAGATACTTGATCCTCCCCCTGACATACTTGTAATCTAGTATCTGTTCCACCTCATACTCGGCATCTGGGTTGACTGGGTCGATCTCGACTTAAGGAGCCGGTGGCGCTCCCGGTGGCGCGAGCTCGAGAAGTGATATGTGGAATGTTGGGTATATCCTCATGTTCTTAGGCAACTGCAATTCATAATTAATAGGTCCTTTCACTTTTTTAATCTTATATAGCCCAAGCTTCCTGTAATCGAGTTTGTCGCTTAGCCTCTTGGTTTTGATGTTTTTTCTGATCAAATATACCCTATCCCCTTGTTTTAGCGTAGGCTCCTGGCTACGTCGCTTGTTGTAATAGTGCGCAGTGCGCTTAGAAACAAACTGTAACTCAGAGGCTAGCTGGGTGTGTAGTTCCTTGATCTTAGAGACACGGATCCTAGCCAGGTTATTGTCGATGGCTGTGATGCCTAGTTCTCTGTATGCCACGAGTTCATAACCGAAGTTGGCATAGAAAGGTGTTTCTTTCGTAGTCTCTGTGGTTGAACTGTTGTACGCGAACTGAGCGAGCGGTAGTAGTGCTACCCAGTTATCCTATTGGTAGTTGACGTAGCATCTTAAGTATGCTTCGACTACCTGGTTCATTCTCTCGTTTCCTCCGTTAGTCTACGGATGGAACGCAATAGTCATTTTCCTCTTAATCCCTAGGGCGGCCGTGAGGGCAGTCCAGAATTTAGAGGTGAAGAGCTTGTCTCGATCTGAGAGTATCTCTTTAGGCAGGCTATGCCAGCTGACTACTTCCCTAAGGAAAGCGTGGGCAAGCTGCTCAGCCGTGCTTGCCTCCTGGTAGGGTACTAGTATCATGTACTTCGTGAGTCTTTCCATGATAACCAGGATTGAGTCGTACTTGACTCCTGATACCGGATCTTCAGATAGCGGGAGCTTCGTAATAAAGTCCTACGATATTGATTTCCAGGGGGTGTCCGGTATAGGGACTGTCCCCATTAATCCGTATGGTGCGAGGCGACTTGTCTTGTTCCTAGTACAAGTGTCGCAATCCTTGATAACTTTCTTGACGAGGGCTCTCATTGACGGACACTAGTATTCTCTTGAGAGTCGGAGGAAGGTCCTTCGCTCTCCTTGATGGCTATGGGCCGGTAATCCGTGTTGTTCCCTTACGACTTCTTCCCTAATACTTAAGGGGAGGTAAATCTTTCCGTTGTGTGTGAGTAGTCCTCCGGGCGTCTTCTTAAAGTACTGAGAGACGGAACCTGCCATCGGGTCTGTAGTATAGGCCTCCTTGATACGGGCCTCCAGCGGAGTCCCATCTAGGCGTCCTAGAGAGGCTATTTCCCTGATCGCCGGTGCTAGGTCCCCGTTGTCGAGGGTACGAAGCAAGGGTTGCTCATCGTACACTTTATCGCTCTCGTATCCAGGTTTCCTGCTAAGGGCATCTGCCCTCGGGTTCTGTGTGCTCGGTACGTGCTTGATTCTTAGATCAAAACTAGCAAGTTCCTCAGACTATCGTGCCAACCTTCGATTGTTAAGGACTTTAGTGGTTGTAAAAGCCCGAAGATTCATATAGTTGGTGTGGATAGTAACTGGGAACTTGGCCCCTTGGAGGTACACCTTCTAGTGCCTAAGTGCCTCTACTATTGCCAGAAGTTCTTTCTGGTAGATGTCGTAGTTCTGCTCTGCGGGTGATATTTTCTTAGAGAAATACGCGATAGGGTGTAACTTCCCGTCGTCGGCCTTCTGTAAGTGTACTGCCCCTATAGCTGTGTCTAATGCGTTAATTTCGACGATACTTTCTCGATCTTCCCTATACTGCTGGAGTATTGGTTCTTTCGAGAATCTTGACTTTATTTCCTGGAAAGAGGCCTTTGCTTGGGATGTCCATACGAACGGGACATCCTTCTTAGTGAGCGCTGTGAGCGGTCCTGCGAGCTTGGAGAAGTCTCGGATGAACATTCTACAGAAGTTGGCGAAGCCCAGAAAGGACTAAATATCCTTAACCGTCTGGGGCGACTGCTACTCTCTTATCTCCTGTAGTTTGTCTGGGTCGACTGATACCCTTCCTGGCTTAATGACGTACCCCAGGTACTTTGTACTAGTGACTCCGAAGTCGTACTTCTTGAGTTTAAGCCTGGAGTCGACCTTAGAGAGGGCTTTGAGGACTAGGCGCACGTGCCCCTCGTAGTCCTCCTTTCTCTGTGAATATACTAGGATGTCATCCAAATAACAGACTACAAACTTGCCCAGATATTCCCGCAGAATATCATCATTCTATCATTGGCATGTGGCTAGCGCGTTCGTAAGTCCGAACGGCATGATGGTGTATTCCCATAGGCCGGAAGGCAGCAAAAAGGCTGTCTTCCACTCGTAGCCTTCCTTGATCCTGATTAAGGCAAAAGCTGTGTTTTGGTCCAGCTTTGTATAAATGACTGCCGACCCAATCGCATCTCTTAAACTCTGGAGATTAGGTAAGGGATACACGTCCCTTACTGTAGTGTCGTTTAGTCCTCTGTAATCCACATAAGGCCGCCCCTTTGGATCGTCCTTCTTGTGTGCGATTAGCATATTTGATGCTGCAGGGGACTTAGATTCCCTAATCCATCCCTTTGCTAACGCTTTGTGTACGTACTCCTCGAGTATACCCAACGTTTGCGGGTTATGCCGGCGAAGCTTCTGGCAAGGCGGCTGCTTGCCTTCTTTCAGATTGATCTCGTGATCTCAGGGCTGATGTTTGGGCAGGGCCCTTAAGTCTTCGGGGTCCTCAAACAGCTCAGCGTACTTCCTATAGGGATGAGGTATTCCCTCTCGTCCCTAGTTAAGCTGCTTAGTGGTTGCTTGATCCTGTGCCTTAGAGGCCGTAGTACTAGCCTCCCTGGGTCCTTGTAGTCATTCGTTTGGGCAATTACACCGATTAAGCCTCAAACTCTGTTTCGTCTAATCGAGTTCTGGGTTGTGCTTCTATAGCCAAGGAATCCCCAGAACTATTTAGTGTTGACCGATCGGGGCAATGTCCAAGACAATCATCTCGACATGTCCCTGTATTTTCATTCGTAGGGGGTTCGTCTCATATACGACCCTTCCCCCGTCTTGAGCGATAGCTGTCTCGTCTATTGTGCTCAGCGAATATGGCTCATCTTTTGGCCAGGCCGATAGTCCTAGCTAGGATACTGTCTCCCTGGAGATATAGTTCCCTTGAGCCCCTGAATCGAGCATAACTAGGACTAAACTGCCCTAGACAATCGCTCGTATGTGGAAGTGATTCGTACTTCCCCGCACTATCCTGATAGTTGCACTCAGCTGCCTTAGAGGTGGAAGTGTGAACCGTACTAAAGCTTGTCGTCGGCTTTCCACCGTATTAATTTCCGTTACCCTTTGATTGGTATACTAGCATTCCCATACTTTTAGGGCTATTGTCCACTCAATGAGCCTATAGGGGGTCCTCTCGCGCAAACGTGCTCCAAGTGGGTTATCTTGTCTG